CTCTCTCTGCTTCTTCTTCCGATGAGCTTCCTTCTTCTCCCGGCAACTTCCCCTTCTCTACTTCTTTCTCTCCCTGAATTGTTTTAATTATGGTTAATAATGGTTAAATTTTGTTAATACTAGTTTATGAATTGTTTAGAGGACTGAATTTGTCTAGTATTTTCAATTGTCGCTGTTTTATAGATGATTAAATGAATGTAATTTGATATCTTAATGGCAATATTTTGAATATGAAACTCGTGTAGTGTCTAATTTTTATTTTAATATTTATCTTTCTTCTTATTTGTATTTTTATAATTTTTATATTGATGGGCGTCTCACTTAGCTCTCATGAGTGCCTAACCCCTTTGGATGTTCAGAACTTTCGTGCCTTTTAGTGCATAGCACCTTTGACAACTCTTGTCTTACATGACATCTTATTGGATGCCATATCAATTGCATATATCACACCTCAAAGCTTTACAATTATAGGATGGAAAGATCAGGAGTAAGGACAGTCCTATATCTTTGTTTCTTTTAACCTAGAATTTATCAAACTGTTATATTCTTTAATTTTCTCCAATTGAGCTATAGACTTGTTTCTTAGCTATTGGGTCGGTAGATATGGGATAAAAGTTTGGAGCCAACTTCTGTGATAGAGTAGATCCACTAAAATATTGAGCAGTGGTGTAGCATCAGTTCCTATTTCCAAATTAGCATTTTCTTTCGACCCAATCTTTTCTTTTTTCCTCCTTATCCATCCAGGTAAGACAAGAAAATATCACGATCTGATATGAACATTAAAATATTGTATTGTCAAGTTCTGTTTTTAAGTGTTTGTCAAATTCATAAGTGGATGAATTTATTGATTGGTACCAGAGGCTATTGATTTCTCTATTTCTTGCTCTCCATGGTAACAAGATTGAGAATGATCCAAAGTGTGACCAGAAATTTGCAGTGTGATGAGGATAAAGGCACCTGAATCTTCAATGCTAGGCTTGAAAGCCGATCTGACAATGCGGACATAAAGATGGAATATTAATTGCTCTCAACAAAAGAATGCTGGATGGTTCGGAACAGAGGATAAAAATTTGGGGATGTGGGGATGAATTTTAATGGTTTTGTAGAAAAATCTAAGATTCCTTATCTGAGCACAAGAAGCAATGATGCCATCTTCATCCTAGGATGTCGATGAAGTCTTTAAAAGGCATATACTCTTGAGCATGTGATGGATAAATCATAGAAACACATCCAAACCAAAATTTAGGACAGCATTCAGGACTATGAATTCTTGGTCTACTTTGTTTAATTTTAAGACTTCTTTGAGCTGAATCCAGATGGATTAAGCACTTGAATCAGCCATATAAATGTATAAGCATTTTAAATAATTTACTGATCAGAACTACCTTAATTTGATTTATGGATTCTTTTAGAAAAAAATGCATCTAGGTAATGTATGGATTGAAATAGTGAAATTATTGGCAAAATTGATCAAGTACTGCTTGAGTACCATTTGAAAATCGACCTCTATAAAAGCTACAGGTTGCAGAGATTACACTTAGACAATTGAAATTGCTCTGGCGAGCCATAAGTCCCAATAATTGGAGAATATTGTGATGGTTAAACAGTAAAATTAATAGTTTTGTTCCAACAAATCAATTGCTTTTTTCTACATACTATCATTCCTACTTTAATTAGCTGGCTTCTTTGTTGTTTGCAAGCTTTCTTTACGTTCTCTAAGACACTGATTGAACATGAGTTAAATAAGAATGTGCAAGCTATTCTTGAACACTGAAAAAGTAAATAGTCAAACGACTTTTGCTTCCAAGTGCTTGTTTGATTCAGCAGGCTGTTGAGAGAAGTAGGGCATTCTTTACAATACAATGGTTAAAAAAATTGAAACTCAACTCCATTCTTTTTTTTTTTTCTCTTTACAATTAATAGTTTTCATAGTGATGTTTATTGTATTTGATGCATATTAGATATAAAATAGTTAACATGGTCTTGAATTAGATGGATCTTTGGTTTATAGATGTGAACAAGAACCATGTAATTTACAATAAAATGTAGGATCTGTTACTGATTTGTTTTACAGTATCATTAACTGTTTATTTGTTGTGGAATTCTGAGTTTTAAGCTCCACTGAAAATTTGCTGCATTCAAATCTATTCAATTTTGTTGTTTACTCCAGCGTTTTGAAGTATGGTCAACATAAACAGATAATTGACACTTATTGAAATCTTGTTTTATGTCACATGATTGGCACTTTTTGAAAACTTGTTTTAGGTCACAGCTGATTTTACAAAATTATGTGATCATTTACCAGTCTTTTTTATTGAGTTCTTTCCAAAATTGACTCCATCTTGATGATAAAGTGGAGAATTTTTTTTATTTGCCTAAAAAAGAAAAAAAGGTCATGTAACAAGACTTTGCTTAAATTTTAAATTAAGCCAAACTTTTCCTTTTTGTCTGTGCATCCTATGACACTTTGTTCATCACCGAGTTAATGATCATAGGTTGCTAAGTTTGCTTGATCTGCAGACATGTACAATAATTTGGGCAATCAGACTGGGATGCAAGGACCCACGACCAATCCTCCTCCCAATCCATTTGGCAATGCATTCTATGGAGCTGGATCTGGACTTATTCGAGGTGGCCTTGGGGCATATGGAGAGAAATTCTTGGGCTCAAGTTCTGAATTCATGCAAAGTAATGTAAGAAACTATATCTATGGTAACACATAGAGTAGCTATAATAAATGGCTGATGATTTCTTATATTTCATGTGTATGTTCATAAGCATTTGTTAGTCATATTCTAACATATGGGCTCTGATGAAACAGATAAGCAGGTATTTCTCCAACCCTCAATATTATTTTCAAGTGAATGACCAATATGTGAGGAACAAATTGAAGGTCATATTGTTTCCATTCCTACACAGGGTAAATTGACTATGTTTTGTTATCTTCAGTTTCTACTCTTTTTTATTTCAATCAGATTATCCCAAAAGGATTCTCTTTTTTTACTCGATGTTACAATCTTTCCAGGGCCACTGGACTAGAATAACTGAGCCAGTTGGAGGCAGGCTGTCTTATAAACCCCCAATATATGACATAAATGCCCCAGATCTATACATTCCTTTTATGGCATTTGGAACCTACGTTGTTATAGCAGGCTTTTCGTTTGGTCTTCTTGGAAAGTAAGTCTTGCCTTGGCCTTATTAATACATGCCATTGTCATAAAAGATTTAGATACCGGTCGCATTGATACATACTGGTTGCAATTTACAATGCCGACTATTGGTTGTTATGGGACCATATGGCTCAGTTCGGATGAGTATTCATTTTTTATTATTTCTGAGTGATGTCGAGCAATATGGATCGGTATACTACCCAGGATACTAATACCGGTCTGACAGGGTGCTGATATCAGTATCAGACTAAGTTTTTTATATCTTGATTGTCATCCTTAGAGCAACATTAGCCCTAACCATTGCTCCTCTCTCGCAGATTTACTCCAGAAGTTTTGAGCTTGCAGTTAACAAGGGGACTTGCCGGCTGGTTTATGCAGGTTCTTCTATTGAAGGGATTGTTATATTCGTTAGGAAGTGGGGAAGCGCCACTTCTTGATATGGTGTCATATGGTGGGTATGCTTTTACGGGGTTGTCCTTGACTATGTTGGCAAGGCTTTGCTGGAGTTACTCATACTATTTCCTAATGCCGTGGATGAGTTTGTGTATGGGGGTGTTTTTAGTGAAGACCATGAAGAGGGTACTTTTCACAGAGATGAGGAGCTATGAAAAGCATTCCAGCCGGCAACACTATCTACTACTCTTCATGGCGATTGCTCAGTTCCCTCTATTCTTCTGGCTTGGCAAAGTAGCAGCAGGATAGAGTTCATTTCAGCTACTATCTTTGTTTATGATGTTTATTTCCCCTTTCTGGACCCCTAGGGCACGATAAATCGGTCAGTTATCTTCACAGTTGGGAATTGAAAAGAAACGGAAAAAGGAAAACAATCTGCAACCGGTAGTTTTTGTTGTCATGGCGTCTTCAGGAGCTGGTTCATATTGGGAAATCATGGAAGATTTTGGGGATGGTGCTTGCATGCAGTGCATAGTTAATGGTTGACATACATTGGATGGATACCTCCTTGTGAACTTTGACAGGGATCAGTCTACAATCCTGATGGTGCTTTTCTTAGCATTTTTTTATCTGAGTGTATGTAATTTGACCAAATTGAAATAAGAACTTATTTAACTAATATTGTCACATTAAGCCAGAAATACTTAAAAGTTACTTTGATATATTACATGTTTGTAGTATACTATTTGAAAGTAGATTTATTTTTGGTTAATTGAGGTGATCTAAAAGAACGAATATATATCTATTTTGATTGGTGAAGAGGTGATGTATTCTTCATCTCATGTGCTTACTATCACTGAACATTGCAATCTGGTTTCTCTCGCAGAATTTTGGTAATGCCTTTGATTCCATGCTCCTTATCAGACTTGTTGGCAACTTGGGACAAGCCCTAGCCGTGAACTGTTGTTGATGCTTCTTAAATATCCTCATATATTAGACATATCCTATCAATTTTAGTATCTCTGTGCTAGTAAGAAGTATAAATATAAATATAAATATAAATATGTAATTTATAATAGAGGGATGCTGAGTAATTTTCTTTGTAGATGGGGCTAGTAGGAATAAGAAGTCCGTCATCAAGTTACCTCCTCGGTGATTCCCAGTGGACGGCTTTCATTTATCCGATCACGCCTTAGATTCCGATGCCGAAGGAATATTCTCCGTAAATATAGATAGAATAGTACGAGCAAAACCGGATCTGAAATCATCCATCATCCAGTTCTTATCCGATGGTCTAATCGGACGGCTATTGTTTTTTCGCAATTCGATGACTTTCGGATATTCCTCGTAAATAAAGCGCTAATTACATGGGCAAAATCGGAAACTAAGAATCCGTCGTCAACTGGCCCATCCCGCAGCCCCTCTATAAAAGCAACCAATGGGTCCTCACTGTCTCAGCCGTCTCCCATTTCTTCTCTTTCGAGCTTTCTAGGGTTTCATCCCCAACTATCTCTTCCTCTCGCGCTTCGAGTAGCCGTCATGCCTCGCCGAAGCTCCGGTAATGTCTTTGATTTTTAATCCCTCCTTTGTAGATCTCTTAGGGTTTGGAGCATCCCCAGATGCTGCGTTCCTATGCTTTTCCTCTCGTCGTATTTGAGGTTCTTGTCGATCTCTGTACTTTAACCTCATTTGTCCAGAAAAATTCCTTGCTGTGTTTTGACAAAGGGAATAAGATATTGTTATTTGCAAGCATGTATTCTTTCTGTGATTTGACAAAGGGAACAAAACATTGTGTATGCTAGTCAAGATAAAGGGACACTTCTGATTGAGTGGTATATTTTAAGGTTTAAATACCAGGATTCAAACATATGTCATGGCCAAGATCACATACCGATCCATGTTGTGTGTCGGTACTGATTGTTTCAGATGGTACCAATAGTGGACTGGACTTTTCCTCTCTTTGAAGCATATTTACCTTCAATTATAAGATGGCAAAGATCGATACTAATTGGACCGGTTAATATTAGTACCTGACTGATCCTTAGCCATATAAGGCCTCAATATATGTAGGACCTATTATTAATCATGTAATGAAAAAATATAAATACAACTAGTAGAATGCTAAATTATCAAGCATACCACACCAATCAACGCATATATTGAAATATAATTCTTAATTTTTGATCATGCATCTGAATAAGATTATAAATTTGGGTAATCAGTAGTTAACATCATATAAGCATGCCATATATCTTGTTGTCCCTTATTAGTGTTAAAAAAATCAATGTTGGCATGTTTAGTGAACTTCTTGGAGTTCTTTGTAACATTGTGTTCATAACATATTGCTGATATACATGGATATTGGCTTGATTCGTGACTTATCTGGTGTAGATCCATGCGGATTTGGCCAAGATATATGAATTTAGACTACATCTGCATAGATCTAACTTAAGGTCACATAGATTTATGTTAGATCTAGGCTAGATATGGTTCCAGTTACCTTAACCACAAAATCAAGAAATCTAGTTTTGAACTTACCTTAATTTGGATAGAAATTCTTTTCTTGCTGGAGATTTGAAGCTTGACTGGAGAGGCTAGAAATATGAAGTGAGATACTTGTTTGGAAGCCTGAAATACATTTTTGGGTTTTTTGATAGGTGGGACATAGTTTTGACCAGGTGGTAGGCTTATTGCCCAGTTCAAATTTGTTACGAGGCCAATATCTGGTGATACACCTATATGCCTGTAATTTACTGAATGGTATGACTGATTTGTATTGGTACCATTGGGTTCTGCCTGGTCTGTGGTTGGACTAGTAACACTATTTATCAGTTCCCTACCTATATCAGTATAGGCATCCCTAATGGGCATAAGTATTTGGTAGAGAGTGATCAGCTCTTGCTAGTAAAAACTAATGTTGTAAATATACTTGAAGAGTCGACTCTTATTGATGTGAAAACAAGGGCTTGCAATTGATCCAAGATTAATGTGGTAGCAAACCCATCCAAACTTAGTGTATGGTCTTCAATTCAAATGGAAGGGACCATTATTGCAACAGTAAATCTCAAAAAGAAAAAGGGATGTCACAGGAAGATATAAATAAAGTAAAACACAAAAATGGGAAAGAAGAGTAAAAACACTATGCTGGCATACTTTGGCTTTAAACATTGATTTCATTTTCAAATTTCATCATCTTTCTAAGATATTGATGATTCTTTAAGTCTCAACTGAACTTTTGTTTCCTTAAATTAGGTTCTTGAACAGCATAGCTCTTCGAGAAGTGTTTGATCCCATCAAAGTATTGTTAATTATTTTATCCTTGAGTAACATAATCCTATTTGTACTAACATTTCTGGATCCATTCCTTGATTTAGATACTACTTTGTTTACCATGAAATAAACTCAAACTCTTTCTTAACTTGTGAGGGTCATACATGGACTTTGGTGTTACCCAACTAAATTGCTTCTTTGTGTTACAAAAGGAAAGAAAAGAAAAAATTTGATGCAAATACAAAAGAACTTTAGAAATAGACTCGACTCAACTCAACCTATACAAAGCTCAAAATTTGCTTCTTTTTAAGATACTCAATATTCCATCTCGAATAAGCATGTGTTCATATTACTGAAGCATCACATAATATTGCCTTTTGCAGATTTATCAACTCGTATTCGTTCTGATGGTGTTTATCTTTATCCATTTTTGACTCTTGACATTAGCAGGACCAATAACATATGCTTAAGACTTTTGCATCCTTGATGATATTTGTTATGAATTTCTATCTATGGTCATATCTCTAATTTTTGGCCTTGCAGAAAATGTTCTTTATTGCACTAAATTTTCCGTAGTTATTATCCATTTTTTCTTTTTTATTTGTGTCCAGAGTGATATGGTGAAAAGAAACTATTTAGTTAACCTTAGTTACTGATGTGTGATCAATTTCCTCTCATTTAAACTTATAGGTGAAGTCCCTTTGCTTCAGGGATAAACTGAACATTTTGCATTTGTCTCTTGCTCAGGATGTTTGATTTTTTGTTTTTACAAGCTTCTTGGCTATGTAAATGGATGATTCATATATTTTCCGGCTTTGATTGATGATATTTAGGAAGCTTCAATTTGTTGTGTGAATGCTTAATTATATTGTTTGTATTATGTAACTCATTTGTCCATAGGCTAATTAATTATCATATAAACTCTGTAGGTCGTCCAGCCCCACGTGCTGCTCCTCGTCCTGCTCCAGTGAGGAACCCTCCTCAACCTGGTAATACTTGGTTGCTGACCCTTTCTTTTGAATGGTTGAGAGATTTTTGATAAATAACCATCAGATATATCCTACAACTTTTGATACGTTGTTATTTCTCCATATTCAACCTATGAATATTCCATCCTTGATTGACACAATATATTTGTCTAAATGTAATTTATTGCCATTTTATCATTACTGAATAATGTTTGTTTTCATACAGTTCCATGGTGGTATGTGTTTGTACACCTGATGTTGGAATGAAATTATCACTTTCGACTGTCTTGTTGTGGTTGCATTTATGGGAATTATTGGTTCTTGTTTGTTTTGTTTATTGTGTTCCTTTGCGAAATTATGTTTTGTCAAGCCTTTGCATTTTAAAGTTCTCTAGATTTGTTCACTCCATTTCTTTGGGTACACTGTTATAGCACATAGCAATGAGAAGTCTGGCAAAAGGATTTTAAGAAGTTCCAAGTGTGATTACTAGTTTTTAATGAAATGGCTTCCAAAGTAGTTTAAATTCATCTATATCTTTTTGATATTGCCATTATGAAAGATAAATCTTGCCATCATGAACTGTGATATGTGGTCAACGTCACATAGTTCAGCACTTTCCTTTAGCTGTTGCAATTCGCTAGTGTGCTACTTAGGTCATCCTGATCTTTATTTTTTCCTTTTTTCTATGATACTAGATGAAACTTATGCTTCCAATTTCTTATTCATTTATTTGCAGTACATCAGGCACCACCTCCAGCTCCTGCTCAGGGTGGTGGATCTCTCCTAGGAGGAATTGGATCTACAATTGCTCAAGGTTATTGTCTTCTTCCCTCCCCATTTTGACATATTTATACATGCATCGAATTTTGTAATCCCAGTTGATGGATATGTCAACTCATGGTGAGCTGTGGTCCTTGATCAGGCATGGCTTTTGGCACGGGCAGTGCTGTTGCTCACAGAGCTGTCGATGCTGTTCTGGGGCCTCGCACCATACAGCATGAGACCGCGGTATCTGAAGCTCCTGCTGCTGCTGCTGCCCCAGTGAGCAATGCTGTTGGCACAGATGCATGTGGCATCCACTCTAAGGCTTTCCAGGATGTATGTATTCTAATCTCTCGCCCTCTGTATTGACTCATTTCAATAATTTACACTAAAGCTTCTTTCCTTTATATTTGTGAATGTAGTGCATCAACAATTATGGTACCGACATCAGCAAGTGCCAGTTCTATTTGGACATGCTAAATGAGTGCCGTCGAGGTTCTGGCGCAGGGCTGGGTGCCTGATCTATATATAATTTTCACGAAGTCCATATTTGCTCATGCTGGTCGGGTTTCTTTGATAAGTAATAATAGCACCTTGAACCTTTATCTGCTAAAGATACCCTTTGCTATCCTAGATTGGCCCTTGGAAGTGAATCAAAAAAACATTATTTCCATCTGCCATTTCCCTTGCTATGATTATGATGTGTAAGCATCCAACTAAACTTTATCACCTGGTGTTTTAGATTCAATGTGATGCCGGAATGACAATTTTATTGATTGCTTGTTGCCAATTTGATACATTTTTAGCAATGTGAATCTTGTTCTTCGTAGTATTTATCATTTGAGATATGACACTGTATGCTAATTGATTCAAACTACTGCAACAGCCTTCATTGTCAACTATCTCAAATTTGCTGTTGAAAGATGGTTGAGCTCTTGTGAGCTTGACCCACTGAGTTTGGATTCCGGAAAGGCACAAGTTGAAGGTATGCTTGATATCACTGTCTTTCATGTAATGGTTGACCATGGAGAATGTGCATCTTATAGGTCTGCAACTGTGCTCAATCTAGATGGGATACCAATCAAATATTCAAGTATTATGATCAGGTATTTAATTATCAAGTAGGGCAAATCTGACGAGTAGATTAGTGATGGATAGGTTGATGATGTTAATGAAAGAGAGTATAGTCTTTTAGGATATTTAATCAGCGAAGGGAATCTGAAGGAGTTTGTCATGAGCTAATTAACTAGTATTTCATTGCAGAAATAGGTGTGGATTGGAACTTTCAAAGAATATGATAGATTTGCTTTGCCTCTTTGGACACAGATGTGTGATATTGTTTCAAGGTCATACCATCACTCTCGGTCTGTAGGTCGACTATTTAAATAATTGCAAAGGGTAAGGGTTTGCCCCTCTCGATGTTGTAGAGGTGGGAGGCTCTATATCGGGAATTGGCTCCTTGGGTTCCACACTCTTTTGACGGTGAGACACCTTCCTCACGATGGTACAATCGAGTTGAGCTCGACACCTCGAGCGATGGCTCGTGAACAATGGTCGAAGCCGAAGAGCCTATTGTCGCACTCGAAGAAGTGCCGAAACCTTCATTTTCAAAGAATGCATGTTCATGTTTGTAAAGTATCACGATCATAAGGTAAGGTTGTAGAGGATTAAAAGGAGGAATGGGATAAGTGATGAAAGGTTCCGAATGGCTTTCAGAGGAAGAAAGTATATCCCTCAGCTAAAGCCCCTCTGAGCGATTAAGTAATAGCTATTTTTTTCCTTATATAATCGAAAACAAGTCACAAAAGGTTTGCAATCAGAGTAACTCGCAGTCATGCGACATTACTCGATTGAATGGAGGATGTTGACCAGGTCGGGGGATTATAGATATTGTGATTAGTAGATATTCGAATATGAGATATCTGCTAGAGCTCCTATCTTATTTGGAGGTTATTAGGTATCTACTAGATATCTGCTAGTAGATACCTAGATATTGTGATTAGTAGATATCTGCTAGATATCTTATTCGAATATGAGATATCTGCTAGATCCAATAAGAGCTAATGAGAGATTATTAGGTAGAGATCCACCTTCTATTCTCCTATTCTCCTCTCTCCTTCTCCTCAACGTGCAACTCTTATTTGGGGCATGTGGACAGCAAGAAGGGGCAACCCTTTCTTGATTGTGATGCGTGTTGTGAAGAGGATTGTGCAGCAATTTGAGGAGCGTCATTGTAGCCCTTGTCGTGTGGATCACCATTAGAGAGGAGGACAGTTGACCTCCATCCTCTCCGATAGATATGTAGGAATTCATGAATATACGATCTTCCTAGGTAACAGTCTCATATGTACGCGTAATTATTTGATTTCGTGAGTTTTTACGCACCAATTTTTGCACAATAATAAGAAACCTTTTTTTACGAAAAATCTGTGTTTTTTGTTTTTGTTCACTGTGCATGTGATGTCGTCTTAGATTTCCCAACATGTCCCATTGTTGGTAATGAGGGCTCTTGGGATTCTAAAGCGGGTGATGATGTTTTTCATATGAATTTCTCTATTTGTTTCTCGATGATCGATGCTAGTGTTTCACGCTCTACCCACTTCGTGAAATAGTTCACTCATACGATGAGGAACCTTCGTTGGCCTGAGGTTGGCGGAAAATGTATGAGAAAATTCATCCCTCATTAGGCGAATGACCATCTGTAATCAATCGGGTTTAGAGGGATTGTTGGTTGACATTGTTTCTGAGCAAACTTCTGGTATCCGTGGCATCTTTGGGTATAGGTTATTAATCTTTGTGCAACGTCGGCCAATAGAACTCTCATCGAAGCACTTTGAAGGCTAGGGTCTATCGACCAATATGCTCCCCACAAATACCTTCATGCACATCAACGAGCACCCTCTCGGTTTCTTGGGTGTAGACATATGAGGAGTGGTTGGCTAAAGGACCTGCAATGTAGGCTATCGTTAATTATGCAATACTACGCTTGATGACACTTAACTCTTTAGGCTTCTACGAGGTCAGTTAGGAGTGTCTCATCTCTTTTATAGTATAGGGTCTCGTCCATGTAGCTGGACTCTCCCTTGACCATAGATACATCATGCTTCTTAATTGTTTGAGTTGGTAGTGTCTCGACCAAACGCCAGCCTTCCTTCGAAGCTCGAGCGGATACTAGCCTGCGAGGGCGTCAGCTTAGGCATTTCTTTCGTGGGAGACCTGTAATACAATGAGTTAGGAAAAACTACGAGTCAATTTCTACACCTCGATGAGGTACTTTATCATAGTCACATCTTGAGCCTCATAGTTCCCTTTCACATGGCTCACAACTAATTGTGAGTTGCTAAACACCATTTAAGTCTTAGACTTGAAGCTTCTGGGCGAGCTAGAGCCTCGAGAGGAGTACTACTTCATTGTTGGAGATCTTGAATTCAAACTGAATGGCTTGTTCGGATACTTGTTTATTCAGGCCCTTCAGGACAAGTCTGACACCGTCTCTTTTTGAGGTGGCAGAGCCATCCATAAACAGCGTCCATGCTGAGGGGGTGTGACTATCGACTGTCGACGAGAGTTAGCTCTAAGATAAAATCGACCAATGCATAGGTCTTAATAGTAGTCATCGACACATATCGGATGTCGAACTCATCCAGTTCTACTGACCATCTTAATAGTCATCCTGAGACATCAAATCTAGAAAGAACATGTCTGAGTGGTTGGTTGATGATCACCTATACAACATATGCTTGAAAATAGGGGCAGAGCTTCCTTGCCACAAGTATCAATACAAATGCAAGCCTCTTGATAGGGAGGTACTATTCTTGGGCCCCACTTAAGACACGACTGACATAGTAGATAGGTTTCTGAACTCCAGAGTCATCCTGAGACATTGGAAAGAGGCTCTGCCAGCATGGACGTTATTTGTGGATAGTTTTGCCACCTCAGAAAGAGGCAGTGTCATATTCATCATGAAGGGTCCGACCAAACAGGTATACAAACAAGCCATTCGGTTTAAATTCAAGATCTCCAACAATGAAGCAGAATATGAATTACTCATCTCGGGGCTTTAACTCGCTCAGAAGTTTCAAGTCCAAGACTTTAACAATGTTCGATGACTTGCAACTAGTCGTAAGCTAGGTGGAAGGGAGCTATGAGGCCCGAAATGTAACAATGACAAAGTACCTCGTCGAGGTGTAGAAATTGGCTTACAATTTCTCCTGACTCCATGTATTACGAGTCTTCCACAAAAAAAAAGCCCAAGCTGATGCTCTCGCTAAGCTAGCATCCGCTCAAGCTTCGAAGGAAGGCTAGCCTTTGGTCGAGATATTATCAACTCGAACTATTAAGAAGCACGACGTATTTATGATCGAGGAGTAGCCGAGCTGGATAGACGAGATCATATACTATAAAAAAGATGGGATGCTCGTAATGGCTCAAAAAGTGAAGTATCATCAAGCATGATATTGCATAATTAATAATCGCCTATAGGTTGGAGAATGGGAAAATGAATTAAACAAAACCCTTAACATCATCTTAAATTTTGAAGTTGTGAGGAATTCATCATAAAATCTATCCATCGATTTCATTTTTGCGCTTAGCCATCACCTCTAATAATAGTGAACAATTTCTACACCTTGTCGAGGTATAAAAAATGGCCCACAATTTCCCGTGACTCAATGTATTACTGGTCTCCCACGAAGAAAACGTCCAAGCTAATGTGCTCGCTAGGCTAGCATCCACTCAGGCTCCAAAAAAAGGTTAGTCAATAGTCGCAACATAATTGACCCAAACCATTCAGAAGCATGATATATTTATGGTCGAGGGGAGTCGAGCTGGATAGATGAGATCCTATGCTATAAAAGAGATGGGACATTCCTGATTTACCTTGTAGCAACCCAAAGAGTTATCATCAAGCATGTTATTGTATAATTAATGGTCACCTATAGGTTAAGGAATGGGAAAAGAAATTAAAAAAAAAACAACTCTTAACTTGAAGTTGTGAGGAATTCATCATAAAGAAATTTATCTTTATGGTAACATGACATTAAACTTATGAAAGATTCATCGCTATGGTAACATGTCAGTGTGTTGCTCTTTTCCTTTGGATGATTAAATCTCTCATTAGACTTGGACTTGTTAGTAGTGTGTCATTTTGTCTCATAAAGATTCCACAACAATCAATAGTCCGTTATGTCTCCCTTTTGGTCATGTCTTGATAGCCCTAAGATCTTTTGTTTGAACTCGAATTGCAAGCTTATTTGTGTCACCTCCATCCTCACATCGCCTATGCCACTTTTGATTGTGTTCATTTTGTTGGTAATTGACCTTCATCTGTCCTCAAATGAGCCAATCGAAGATGAATTTTAGCTGTGGATTAGTTTGTCGTCTAGTAGTTCTTGAAGTATACTAACTTTGTTGAAGATTGGTGCTTTGATATTAGGATCTTAGGACTGCCTCAAACACAAACTTAGTGCCTATTGCTTCTCTTGTAAATTTAAATGACAAAACATTGATATATTCTATAAGAACTCTCACCTCTACAACCTCTTGTCCCTTGTGAATGCCTTCTAACTTCAATTTCAACTTTATAAGTTGAGTCGAGTCTCTTCGTCTTAGTATTTATTATCAATTGTGCCTTTTGAGATCAAGTGTGTGTCTCAAAACTCCCTTCGACTTTTACACCATATAAGAAGAGTCTTATACCATTAGGAAATTGAAGGACAACATGATTTCCCTTTTGCGTTCGCAAGGGATCAGGTCATTGATCTCCATCTACGGAAAACACTATGAAATTGATGCTATTGCACCATGTTTCTTCTTCTAAATAGACTCCATTCATAAACCACATATAGCCTAAGATGCTCTACCCCTCACTCTTCATTAGGTTGAGTAGGCTTACTTTTCAAAGGTATCTCTTCATAATGTGTGATACATTACACAAGAAGTATTTGTCAGAAATCAAGACTTATATTTTGTAAACTTGATCTATTGGAGCAACTTTACTTTCTTTTTATTCCATGTAGTAGAAAAAAATTTCATGCTCTATAGCATTATTGCTTTGTGATGACCATGGAAAATATATCATTCGCATACAAAATCATCGCATGAATACCAAATTTTATGAATAATCAATTCTCTCCCTTCCTGGGCCCTTGCTTGAACTGAACCATTCTCCAACTTGTAGAGTCTCAATGCTCTTACTTACATCAAGCACTATCAAGTTAGATTAACGTTATCGAGTTATTACTCGAACTCAACTATCTTAACTTTTGTGTACACACATGTTCTTCCTAACTCATTTATTCTTGTGATGCCTCTTACGTAAAGGGTTAACCATTCATTCGAATATCAATCTTGGATGTTGGATTTAGCTGGTGTTGTCTAAGATGTGTGACACACTTGAGATATTCGTCTACAAAAGGTTAGCATTCTAGTAATCTTATACAATCCCATAGAGACCTACAAGAAAAAGAAAAGTTAATGGGAGCCAAACACTAGATCACACAAGCAAACATTATATAAAAATGAACTTTGAATGATTGAGTAACCTATGCACATAAGTGTACATGTGACACCAGTTGTAAAACCACATTGACGAAGAGATTGCCCCTCAAAATTCTTTTGGTTAAAATGTCATGTGACTTGAAGGATAGGATATGATTCAAATGGAAAGACCAAACCAAAAATCATAACAGAACCAAAACATTAGGAGCTTGAACCTCAAAAGAAAGTAACCTTTTTCCTAGGATTGGGCATCATTCCTTATTCTAAGTGGAAGATTTTGATTATCGTTTTCCTTGTAACTATCTGAGACACTAAGGATGACCCATCTAGACATATAACCCATTCATAGACATATAATTGAAGCTTCAGCCGAATTAGTAACACCAAAGGATACCAGGGTGATAAGACAATTGATATTTTACATTACAAGATCATCAAGCAGAAATCAACTAAACACCAAAGGATACCAGGGTGATAAGACAATTGATGTTTTACATTACAAGATCATCAAGCAGAAATCAACTATGAAAATGGGATTCATTTGAGCGCGACTGTTGCTCTACCCAAAATGTGTGACAGTGTGGAGTGTTCATGCAGTGCACGACCCAACTTACAAGCAGTGATTTAAAAAACGCTAGGCGCCAAAA